TTTATAACGTTTCCACATCAGAGACACATACACACTTTTCTCAGGAAAATAATAATAATGACGTTAAATGAAAGAAGAAAGACCTATTTTCAATATAATAAGTAAAACTAAATGCAATGTATTTACACTCCTCAACCAGTTTATCTCAATAAACTCATGAGCAATTATTGCTTTATTTCTAAGTCACTAACCTCACACTATTAGACACCCAAAGTAGTAGGGGCATAGCAACTTAGAGAAAATACTGAGATATGCACACTGATAATTAATGATTGGCACAGGTAATTAATGAGGAGGGCAGGCTATACTATGATAATGATTGCAGGTTATTAGCAAAAAAATACATATACAGAGGATAGGAAGTAGTATTGATAGCAATTTGAGATCAAGAGGACAAAGATTCACAATCTCTCCTGCTCTAGGAAACTATCTTACCATTCCAAGTTTAAAAAATCTTAGTGTAAAAATCACAACCATACTCACAGCTAAGTTATATTTTTAAATTTTTGCCACAAGGCTAGCAAGCCAACAGAGTTCTTAACTACGGTGTTTTTTTTTTTCATTTCATAGTTGCTTTAATATTTTAAAACATGCCCTATTTGTTCCTGTTTAAATCAGCTGGCTGAGAAAATTTCAAACTAGTCTGAAGAAAACAGAAAGTCAAAAATACATCTGACCCCTGGTAGACCAGACACACGTTGACGATTTCCATAAGAGTGTGTGGAAGGTAAAAAGGGAAAAATCATCTAACCCCTTGCTCTGGAACCCCAATTCCCTGGACCTGGGACTTTGCTGACTGTTAATGTGAAGAACAGCCACCTGAACACGCTGTCAGAAGAGAATGACAAATATTCCCTATGATATAACCACCCAAAACAGAACGGGAGAGGGCCCCAAACCTTAAGGAAACATAAACAGAAAAGTGAGAGCCAAAGTGTCCCACAATGTTACCTGCACATATGAGAGAAACAAAAGGTGCTGGGCATGAAGATGGGGTTCTGGCTGTGGGCAGACAACACAAGTGACATAGAAATGAAAGTAAACCATGAGGGAGTTTGGGATTGTTACAGGGTCTGACTGGATGTGAACTCTTCTTTCAGATAAATACTTACAGTTTGGCCCACTGTATCTTGTTTTCAAATATTTCCCATAAAACACAATAGGTTTTAGAAAAGTTACCCAGCACACTTTCTTGCCTAAACCAAAGAGGAGGATTCAACAGCTCATCTTAGTAGAATGTAACAAAGTGAAAGGAGAAACTATCACCCCCAGAATACTTACATGCAAATGTGCCATGGGGGGAACTAGACCATAAAACTGCAATTATTCATAACAAGGTAAAGTCTTATTATAAGTAACATTTCCAGGTAAAGGCTTCCTCTTCTGTCCACATAGTGAGGCTCTTTACTTATGTATTTTAGCACTAACTCCACAAGCAAAAACTTCCCCTGGTGTTGGGCATAGAATAGACAATTGGGATCTGCAATGCAGATCAAAGACCAGAGTGGGACCTGGAGAATTTCTCTGTGAAAAAAGAAATCTTCAAACAAGTTTGTTCCCCTAATTTCTCCCCTCACAGTCTTTCTTTTCCTTTCATGTATTTTGCAGAAAAGTCATAATGATAAATTTGTTATATTGGCATTATTCCCATGGCAACTGACTGTGATAGCAGACTGACAGCTCTACAGGAAGATCAAGTGGTTAAAAAAAGGAGAGTGATGACTTAGAATTTTCCTCTTAAACCTCTGAAAAACCTAACTAGAGAGAACACCAAGGGAGGGAGAATTCCCTAGAAAAATCACACACTTCAAGTGTCATTTTTACAACTCGACTCCCATTTAGAATTTTTTGTTGCTCTCCAGAGACCAGCACCTCCTTCCCCATGTACAACCGTGGCTTTTTTCCAGAGCACAGCAACACCGCTCTAGGCAACAGGAAGAGCATGCACAAGATGAAATTGTTCCTGGCAGGCACTGAAATCACCCCGACCAGGCTGCCAATTTGCCAGGGTGGGAAGGCAGCTTGAAGTTCTTGTACCACCTCGAAATTAGGGGGGAAATTAGAAAGAGCATCTGACTCCGATCAAAGATCTATAGCCTTTAAATAAGAATGATAAAAAGAGGGATTTGATTCTTAGCTTTTAGATGGCTCATTAAGTAAGTTTGAAATGAATGCCACTTAATCCAAAAGCTGAGTCTTCTAACAAATGCAAGCCATTTCCTAATGCTTTCCCAAAGTGGTTTCCAAATAAGTGTTTTTGAAAGTGATTACTTTCATTGCTCCAGATACTTTTCTATGCATTCTTTATATTATTTAATCTTTACGACAACACTCAAAATAGATCTATTCTGTTTTGTTCGACAGATCAAAATAGAAACTCAGAGAGGCCAAATGGTTTTACAGAAGCTCACAAAGCAAGTAAAATGCAAAACCTTCACCCAAACCAATTTTCAAAGTTTAATCTTTAAAAGTGGTTCCTTACAAGGAATACTTGTAAACTGTCAGAAAAAAAAAATTAATTAGAAGGACAATTAGATAATACATAGAAGAAAGGGAGAAAAACAATTACTTGCAATGCCACCACTAAAAAAAGCCATTTCTATAATTTGGGTATATGATCTTTTTCTTCATTACACATCAAGACATACAAATACATGTATTTTTTTTTATTGTGCTTTTTTTTTGTAAACAGGAGTTAGTTTTGCTACGGAAGCACTTTGTCAACAGCTGCTTTGCTTTCGTTTTTATAAGGATTGTGGTTGCTCACCTTTGAAAAATTAACTACTGCTTGGCTAGTGTGCAAATGCTAAATCATACACCTGCTTTCAAGATGCATGCAAATACATGTATTTTAAAAAAGTAATGGTATCACACAGTGTGTTCTATCATCAGTCAATAAATAAAGCTCAACATTAATGATGCACAAACAAGGAAGTTGAGTGCCAGCCCCACCCCTCTGGAGACATACCACAACCACAGGTAATGACACAGCAGTGGAAGCTTATTCCTGCCAGCTAGAGAATAGAGTCACCTTTGAAAAAGTCCTACTGGTCGACCTGAGAAAGTCACATGGAGTAGACAGTCCTTACGGCAGTACAAGAAAGAATCTACTTCTAACACTTCCCCTGACTACTATGTCATTTCTTCATGTTTGCTGGTCTTATAATTACTGTTCTCCCCAGGTCACCCTGACAGTAAGTGGCAGAATGAAGCTGTGAACCCAAGCAGCCTGGCCCCAGTCTCTAATTCTTAATCACTAGACTAGTAGTCACATAAATATTACCTATTTTCACATGCTTGTTAGCTATTCTATCAGTCAAATATTTTGTTTTTCCTTTTCATGGTAACAATAAGAGCACAATCTAAACTCAGTTAATGACTTTTTACTTGTCATATGTTGCGAATGTATTCTTTTTTGTTTACTGCTTCTCCTTTATATCTGTTTACATTTTTCAGGTTTTATCTAGTCAGCTCTATCACTTCTCCCTGTTTTATGGCTTCTGCTTTCAAAATAATGTTCTTCTCTTTCCCAAGATTATGAGACTACTGAGCTTCATTTTAATTTTTAACATGCTTATATTATAACATTTGTCTATCTAGCATATATTTTAGAATTAAGACTGAGATAAGGATTTACATTTTATTTTCCCAAACGCTTTGGCAATGGGCCTCCTATCATTTTCTGGCTAATTAATTTTTTCCCCATTTGTCTGAGATGTCAAAGCTTTATCATATTGTCAATCTTATTTCTTTTTTATTTTGTTTTTGGATATTTCAATCTTTTTTGTGGAACAATCTGTCAATTCCTGTATCAGTACTAGACAGTTGTATTTATTATAGCTTTATGTTTTAACGAGGCTAACTTCTTGGTGCCATGTGTCTCAATAAATGGTGTCACCTGCTATAATAACATAATAGCATCTGGATAAATAAATGCCAAATAAAAAAATGCTTTTTCAAAAAAAATGTACAAAATGATGTAAAAATAAACTATTATATTGTAAAAAAGGAAAAACGCTTTTGCAAATAATAACATTCAATACTCATAGTATGGATACAAAATCTAACTAGTAGCATTGACACAGAAAACAAGATTTCACAACCTCCTCTTTATATTTAATTGGAAGATTAGTCAGGGACCCTGTTTAGCTACCTGTACCACTCGAAAGTGAATTCCTAAAACATGTGCGTGCAATAACTCAATAGAATACCTATGAAAAATACATAAAAGTTTCCTAGCAAGAATCTCCGAGTTCTTCTTAAAGAGCACCTAAATAATTATAATGTAAGTGTGATTTGTACTATTTCATGTCAGAGGCATGCCTTCAACTGCTCACAGTTCTCTTAAAATCTAAGCTCTTAAAATCTTCACTTTTCCTGCAAGAGCATCTTTAAGTGTACATACAAGTAGAATTAGAGTGACATCTAATGGTCACAAAACATGTCACGTAGCAGTTCTTCAAAACAGAACAGCACACATATTCCAGGTTGAAAGGCTAAATCGGCAATTTTTCAACTGCAAGCACTAAGCTCCTATTTGAAATTCCACGACTTGGTCTGCCCTGAGCAATCTGGATGACTATCATAAACCACGCTGCGTGTTATACAAACAACATCTCACTTCATTATTCCACATTAGTTCTATCAGGTCCATTTCTCTCAAACCATCAGTTCAAATGATGCTGATAAGGGTAAGTAGGTTATTAAGTAAGTAATAACCTGTCAATCACTTAAAATAACCCTCAGCAGAATTCTGAGCATACCTTTGGAGAAGAACCATTTGCATTCTGAACATTTGGAGAGCAGATATCTGCTGCCCTCAGTCAAATGATCTGAATGTACATCACTCTCAGCAGCCTCCTCTGAATAATTATCAGGCAGTGTAAAGAGCACCAAGGATAGCACTCCTTTGTGGTGGGTTACAACAATTTCATCAGGCAGGCCTCATGCAGCCGCCAGGAGACAAGAGCCCCCTCTAGCACTACACAGCCTTTCCTCACCAATTCCAGCGGCTTTGAGGGTGTTCTCTTCTTTTAACAGGAGCCTGTCATCATCCTCTAAACTCATCACAAGTTCATTTGTCTAGAAAGAAAGAAAATTTGCATTTTACCAATATTCATATGCGTTTCATATTTGGTAAGATTTCTTAGACATAAAACTGGTACTTTGGGTCAGGACAATAATCTAAAGCTATATCCAACTTGCATTATAGAAAGGAGAGACGTTAACGGTCAGCACCTAGTCAATGCACAAGTGAAGAGGAACATGGGTGTCAGCACGTTAGCAAGTTCTCTGGAGTTCAATTCAGGTTAAATTTAGGCTCTGCCAGTACTCAGCTGTGTGTTAACAAACCCTTCCTTAGATTCAGTTTCCTTATCTATAAAAAAGTGGGAAAGAATGCCTCTTCTCTATTGCTGTGTGGTGAGGATGGAATAAGATGAGGCGTATGTCACTCCCCACCCCAAGTTGGCTGCACAGCTAAGCATCCCTATACTAACTGCCACCTGTCACTCTGTGCTGTTGTCATCAGTGTCATCTTGTCATCATCTTCTCTCTCACTCTCACCATAACTCAGGAGAAATAATAGAGGTTAAGAAACAAAGCCAGGGCACCTGGAACTGAGGTGTGAGCTTTGGTCAATTGGACTTTTGAGAGAAGCAAGCTTACCTTAAAAGGTCATGTATCTAAAAACCTAGCCATTGTTAATAAACACTTGGGTCATATGTGATACTAGCTTTGAACTGTGGGATTTGAACTGGGAGTACATGCTCGCCAATAATATTTACAAATCAGAAGCAGAGATGAAAATGTTGAGTTGTTATCTGCTCCTAAACAGTAAAGAGAGGTGACTGTCAGCTGAGCACAATCCACACCCTGCCATTTGTCAACAAGAATGCTGCTATGTACCAACATATTCTATATTCCTAGGATAAGGCTCAGAGGAGAGTCAACAGAAAGGGCTTTCAACACCCAAAACAGAAGCCCAGAAGTCATGTTCCATGGCTCATGAGCAGTCACTGGGAACACAGCCTCTCGGACTCCAGTGCAGATTAAAATGGGAAAAAAAAAAAAACCCTGATTAAACAAAACCACTTTAGAATAGGCAATGAATATTCATGTTAAAAAAAAAATCCTCCAAGTCTATTTGGATAGTGAAAAGTCTTCTCCCAAGTATTCTCATCAGCATCTTAAAAAAAAAACAAAAACAAAAACCTGGATCCAACTTAACTGTTTCAAGACATCTACCCAGTGATCCAAACAGCATTTAGTGAATCTTCTATATTTTCTCCATAGATCCATATTTACTACTTGTTAAATTCTTACCTACATTTTGGTCATTTTTCACTTTTATTTCTGTGCCACTAAACTAAGTATATCTGAGGGTATCACACTTTTTAAATTAGTACAGTTTTACAATGTCTTAATGGATACTAGATACTCTTCTGTGATTATTCATTATTTTTTGCATGTTAGTTTTATATGCTGCAGTTCATACACACGCATGTATACATCCACAACTATAATAGTATTAAATATATAAATTAAGAGAAAACTGGCACACATTCTTCTTGTCACTTCCCTTTCAAAATACCTAAGTATTTTTGTTTCAGTCTTATTTTAGATACCCTGTCACAGTTTACTTTTTTGTAAAATTGAAGCAGAATTTTACATAAATAAAATGCAAAGATCTTAAGGATTCAGTTCAATAAATCTCAACAACTAAATGCCCCTGTTAATATTTTAAAATTTACTTCTTGGAGATCCTGCATATCTTATAAAGTCCAGGGTACAACTTCTTTTTTTCACACTTTTAACAGGCTTAGCTGTTATGAGTTTGATATCCAAACTCACGGACAGAAATTATTCTGATTTTACAAATAACCTATCATTATAGTCCACAACACACAAACACACAATTTTTTAAAAAACAAATCATAGTAATTATTTGCACTATACTATTATTAATTGGTTCAACAAACATTAACACACACCTCAGCTCATAAGAGGCTCTGGTGGGAAGGTATCCAGACAGCTTTTTAGCTTTTTTTTTTTTAAAGATTTATTTATTTATGCATAGAGAACTGGGGTATAGGCCAGAGATGCAGAGGATGAGAGGATTCACCAGAGACAGAGCGGGGAGCAGAACAGGCAGATTGACAAAGTACACTGCTGAGGAGAGCAGCGGATGGGTCAGGAGAGGTCTGCCACGCCATGTGGTCACCTCCAGGGCAGGCGGGGATCGAACTCATACGGAAGTGGCTTAAGCTTCTTAGTGCAGTGCTTTAACCCGCTGCGCCACCAGGGAGGGCCCAGACAGCTTTTTTAATGGGGTGATAGGAGGCAAGATCTGTTAACACCTGATAGTTGTAATTAAGAAAGTCTCTATCTCTAGTTTCTAACTAGAAAACTGGGGGATGGGAAACACATCTTTCGTAAACAAGTTCTCTAAAGAGAGGCTACTGATAAGTCATTCTGGACGAAGATGCACTGCTCAGAGGCCGAGGGGAAGGGAATGGCGAAATGAAGAAACTATGTGGGAGGAGACTAAGGCACAAATGAGTACATGTATGCCAAAGTTTTCTAAAGTTTCTAATATTGTAAAACGATATTGGCAACTTTCTTTATAAAAGTTGAAGAGGAAACTTGAAGAATCATTCCTAGAGCATATAGCCTGTATTTGACTAGAACGGTGTAGATGAAAGTTGTAAAATCTGAATCCATGAGCATTCTAAGTGCCTTAATCTGCCTTGGGAATCTTTCCATAAACAAATACATTGTTCAATGGGAGAAAAAAAAAAAACCCCTAATTTTGCAACTCTAAAAGGCCAGGGTGGAACATGTGTTTTAAATATAAGAAATAATTCTTAGTTATTCCCAACTACAAGAGGAAAGTTCCCTGATTTCTTTAATGTCAGAATACTAATTATTTGAATGTTATGAACTAGGTCTTCATCAGGATCAAGAAATAATTTACTAATTATTCTTTCTAGAAAAACAAGAGTATCTGACAAGCTCAACAATGTAAAAATGTGACAATGATGGAGAATGACTTGACACACTATACTTTATGAACTTTTCAAAGAACTTACTTTTCATTTTAACTTTATTCTATCTTTGTTTTCCCCTTCTACAAGAAGACCAACTCTTCACATTGAGGAATAAAATTATAAGAAACACTCCTGGTCCAGAATAAAGAAAAAAAATGGAGTCTGTCATCAGATATAGCAGAGGAACATTCTAGCACCCATACAAAGTGCAGATTTCACATGTGAGCACCAAATTTTGAAGCACTTGACAAGTATGTATACATTATCCTTAGAATAAAAAATTAATATTAAGAAAAAATAACAGAAATTATTTAAGTGAAAAGATAAACAACAGGAAAAAATTTCACTAAAAAAAAAAAAAGAACCCTACTGACACTTTAACTTTAATCCAGTGAGAATGATTTCAAGCTTTTGTTCTCCAGAATAATTAAAGAATAAGTAAGTGTTGTTTTAAGTCAGAGGAGAAAAAAAGCAAGTTGCTGAGTAATAGGTGACAGACATATCCTTGTGCCATGTTCTTTGTGATATGTGGGATGTCTTTAATTGATAAATGACTGAGTCTATGGAGGACATCTAGAACCAGAGCATAAGATGAAACAAATTCCTAATACTTCATTCAAAACTTGTATGGAATCATTCCTGATTGAGGCATTACTTTAAGCACTGAAAGATGAAGAATAAAATAGTCTCTTATTCTTAAGTAATTGAGCCATAGGGCAAGCTTGCTGCTTTGATAAGGAGCCTATTCTAGTTTGTTGAGATGAAGTAAAAAGATCACTCTATGTTGTCTGTGTGAGAATTAAACCTTTAATTGTGCTTCATAAAAACATTACTGAAAAGAAAGAAAACAAAAATGTAAACACACAATAAATACATAAAGTCTTCTTTGGGACAGGACAACATAAAGATGCCAGACCATGCTCTTTGGGAAACCTGGGCCTTCTCTGACACAAATAGTGAAGTCTTAACAAGCACACAATGTTTATCTGGTTTTGGATCTTCTCTTATTCGATAGAATTAAGAAAGGCAAAGATACTGGATTCCTGGCGAGTGTTATTCTTTATACGTAACCTAATTACCAAGTTTTAAGTTTACCTTATGTCAAATATTTGCTGGATATAGAACATGGATGCTTTTTAAATTAGCACTCCTTTTAAAGCATCTACTCTAATAGTAATGTGACTTAAAAGAGCATTTACCCTTTAATGGAAATGTAAGATATGTACCCACAAAATAAAAAATGCTATTATAACAGAAAATATTTTATAAGTATGCATGTCCATTTATTCACTAAGCCAACCAACACTGATTATTTGTCATTTATATAATGTGCAAGTGAAACATACCTTTGATTTATGTGCTTGATGAATAATCTTTAGTTTATCTGAAAGAAAAAAAAAACAAATTGTATTTTTGCAAAGATGACGGTACCGCTTCAAACTACTAAAGAGAGAATGAAGAGTGAAATTGAGAGATTTAAGTTCTTGCTACAACCAGGTTCATTTAAAAACACAGTATAAACTTAAAGAAAAATTACTTTGCAAGATATTCAACTTAAAGTTCACTTATATAAAGATACTATAAAATCTTTCATCCTTGATACACACCATTGTGTGTCTGCATAACCTAAAGTCAATTCAGGACTGATATTTTGGAATAGACTAACTGAGGAGCAAATAATGTAAAAAAAAAAAAATGTCTTAAATTAAGAGAGACAATTAACAAAATCAGCTCAAAAAAAAACAGTGATCTCTCAGAGCAGATAGTCACAGAGCAAATAATCATACTGTTCATCATCACTGTTAAAAAACAAAAATCATCTGAGTAAATTCGAGCCAAACTGACTTTATTCAATGATGAACCTGGAAACATCCCATCTAGCAAATAGAAAGTGAGGAGTTGTAAAAAAATGTAGGATTTTTATAGGCAGAAAGAAGGTGGGACAAGGTTATCAAACAAAAACAAAGAAAGATGATTTCAGGCAAAGTTGCCTTCCCACAGAAGGCCTTATCAGGCATACATACATTCTAGACTGTTGGTTTAAAATTCCACTCCACAAAAAAAATATATATATACAAAATGATGTAAAAATAAACTATTATATTATTTAAAATAAATGAATAAATGGATAAATAAATAAATAAAATTCCACTCCAAGCAGGGGAAACTGCAATTACATTAGATTAGGTGACTTGGAGCTTAACACAAGTGACCCTACTTGGGGCCTGTTGTTTTCTTTTTAATCCTACTCTCTGAATTCAAACTCTCAAGGGTCACTATTATTTGAGCAAAGCTGCTACTGTCCACAGAACATCAAATCCGCCTCCTAGTTTTCAAATATTATACAGCATCATGCCTTCTCGTCTGCTTCAGTCACTCCTTCTCTGGCTTCTTGGTCTGTTCATTTTGAAGACAGCCCACAGTGTACTGTACCCAATTTTCCCACATTGGGTAAAATTCTAACTGCAACAGTGAGCATTTAACAGGCTTACATTCAGACATTTCTAAGTCTTCAATTAAGTTTTATCTAACAATAAATGCAATATGATTACATGCATTCTTATAATGTGAATAAACTCTTAACCTCCCATGAAAATTCATTTCTACCCATGACACTGGTTAGAGCCAATGAGTAAAAATGAGCGAATCTACTTAAAAAGCTGGCTTTTATGTGATTATTATTTTTATAATATAGTAGGATAGGTGCCTATACAGTTAAGAACTGAATTAGCGATGATATATTCAGTAGTCAACTTGCAGTTATCTGTTACAATATTTAATATAACATCAGCCTAATCCCAGGACTGAAGCAGGGCTGGGCAGGAATGAAGAGGGCCGTCTCTAGCATAGGATTCTGCACAGAGAGTGTAGGCTTCCTGTACATACAGCATGACTCGTGACTTTTTCCTTTAAATTAATCCTGCCTTAATAATGCCCAGACTTTGACACTACCAGGATCAAGATAACCAGGAGGCCGAAAGCAAGTTCTGGGGCTGAAGTTCAACTGTGATGGGCTGTTCTAATAAGCTGTTTGCTTCTAACTGTCTTTGCTTAACCCACTATAAAAATGCCAGCTCAAGATAAGACAGCAGAACAGTTTCTTCAGGGTGCTATGCCCGCTGTTCTCTCAGCAAAATGGCCAGTGATCTGAAAAAGAAAAGTACTTATAGGTTCAATTCTTGTCTCTGCTCATTGGCTTTTGCTAGCAACAGGTAGCAGAACCCAGACCTAATCTGGTAGCAGGACTATAATATGTGTTGCTAAGAAATAAAATAAATCTGACTTAGTTTAGCACATTAGGAATGTACACATGCCACAACTGTTAAAATTAAGTTTAAAATACACAAAGAAAAATAAGCAAATGTGGCTTTGGAATATCTATTATTCCAAGTTACTAATTACATTTTTTCTCATTAATAATAAACACCAGGTTATTATTGGAGACAAGATAGAGAAGCTAATAGTGGTAGTTTGTTAATAAATAGAACTTGCAGGCTCTCCCTGATGGCACAATGGGTTAAAGCACAGCACCCTGAAGCTATTGCAGCCACTGCAGCACAAATTCAATCTCTGAAACCCCCCCCCCCACTGCTCCCCTCAGCAGTGTATTTCAGTCCCTCTGCCTGTTCTGCTCCCCGCTCTGTCTCTGGTGAATCCTCTCACCTCCCACCCACACCTACCTGCACCGCTGGCCTGTACCTTAGTTCTGTATTCATAAATAACTAGACCTTGCTGAAAGTCTGTTACAATGAACCTGCATCACTATGCTTGATCTTGAACAAACAGGATTAGTAAACCCAAACTGCACCGCAACCAAGATTCATTGCACACCTGGCAGTGGACCACTCTCCACTCCCAAATATATCTGTTTGGAGGAAGTATTACTTCATAAGCAGGGCTCTGAAGGCTGGGTGAAGGCTGCCCTGTAGTTACGGGGCATTTACGGGTAAAAGAAAGTCTCCTTTTATGTATCCCTCCTACACAGGGAAGACTCACCTCTAACTGTATTCAGTAGAGAAGGCAGCAACTAAACACACATCTAAGTCTTGTCCTCATGGTCACGCCTTTCCTGATGATCTCCCAGGGCAGCCAGTCTCTTCTCCCCACTGTCCTTTGTCTCAGCCAATGTTATTTGAGATGGTAACTGAAGACACTTTGGTGAGTTACTCAGTTTTACTGGGTTTCTCCCTTAAATACCTAATAGGTGGTACAGATGTTATTATGAATAGTATTCTATAAGCTCTTTTTGTTGGTTTGTTTTTATTTATTTTTAAAGATTTATTTATTATGTATACCAGGGGCCTGGGGTACAGGCCAGAGGTACAAGGGCGGTGAGAGGATTCACCAGACACAGAGTGGGGAGAATAGGCAGATCAATAAAGTACAGTCCTGAGGGAAGCAGTGGACAAGACAGGAGAGGTCTGTTGTGCCATGTGGGTCACCTCCAGGACCAGGCATGGAACTTGCACTGAAGTGGCTGCGGCTAGCTTGCAGTACTGCGTCCTAACCCATTGCGCCACCCGGGAGGGCTGGCTCTTTTTGTTTTTTTCTCTTCTCAATCTGAGTGGTGCTTATTTGATTAGTTGCCAGCTTAGAAGAACCTATAGGGGTTAGAAAGAACTTTCTTCTCTGCCCCTTTACTCATACAATGTCTATGTCTTTAAAATAAGACCACAACCCTCTTTTAGGAATACACAGTGTGGTCATGGGAATCAATAGATATAGCTGACAATGAAAGGAGGAGGGGCTCTGAAAAACCCCAGGCTCACAGTTGTCTAGAGAAGAGAAGTGGCCCTATGCCCAAGGGCATAGAGATAGCAACTGGCAAACCACAATTTGACTGAATTGTCCAACTGCATTTAAGCTCTGTGCCCTTTTCACTCCCCACCTCCTTAAGTATTTTGTTCTCACTGAGGACGGTAACAATACTGTAGGAAAACAAAAGGTAACAAAGCAACACTTGGCCTTTCTTGGTGAACACAAGCAGCACATTGTTAGTCAAACTCAGATAACCTATCCTAGCAGTTCTCTGCTAACAGATAACTGTATTCATTTTTTCCTGCCAGTTCATCTCACTAGTTAAAACTACAAGGACAAAAAGGTGTTGATGAAGTGAAATAATACCAAAGGTCAGTTATTTGCCACTGTGATGATTAGCAGTCAGCTATTCTGGTGAGTTTATTATCTAAACTTAATCTGTTAAAATAAGTTACATGCAGCGGGTTGGAGGGCTTCACAGTGAAGCCAAGCCACGGCCACTTCAGTGCCAGTTTGATCCCTGCCCCCAGGTGACCCATATGGCGCAGCAGGCCTCTCCACTGCTCCCCTCAGAAGTGTACTTTGTTGATCTGCCTGTTCTACTTCCCAGTGTCTGGCGAATCCTCTCACCACCCCTGCACCTCTGGCCTGTACCCCAGTTCTATATGCATAAATAAATAAACCTTTAAAAAATTTTTAAAAAAAGAGAGAGGTCCAACTAAATCATAATTAAGAGACAGCCCTGATAGCATACCTCTGAAAGTGGTGTAAAGATAGACACCAATTTTAAGACAACTTGAAATGCTTATGGACTCCATGTCCCATAGCCCTAAAGTCTTCTGCAAGGTCTGAGAAAGCTGAAGGGAACTCTGAGAAGTGACATCTCCCCTCTGCCCATAGATGAGTGGCTACCAGGCATTCACTCCCTCTATACCAGTCTCCTGAACTTTGTCAAGTGAGTCACAACTTTTCCCCCTTTTACTGCCAAGTAAATTATTTGCTTGTATTATTATAATGTAAAATTCCTCCCACCCCCAGTAGATATTTTTTAAGGTTTATTTATGCATATAAGAACTGGGGTACAGGCCAGAAGTGTTGGGGGTGGGGGATTGGAGGATTCACCAGAGACAAAATGGGGAGCAAAACAGACAAATCTATTGAAACACACTGCTAAGGGGAATAGCAGGTGAGACAGGAGCAGTCTGATGTGCCATGTGGGTCACCTCCCGGGGGTCAACCTCATGCTTCAGTAGCTGTGGATAGCTTCACAGCACTGTATTTAATCCCTTGCACCATCAGGGCGGCCCCTTCTGCCAACAGATTCTTATTGAGGCTATGCATATTTGGCTTGAGTCCTAGGTGAAACCTTCCTGCTTCATGAAAATTCGCAAACCTAGAGATCCCAAACCTAATAAAACATTCTTATTCAATATTATGGATGCAAATTCATTAAGTCCAATAAATCTAAGTACTTTCCTCACAGTGCCTACAAGTTCTTGACTACCCCTCATAACCTTACAATTAGTCACTGAAAATTAAAATGCATACACACGGTGAAGAATATGATTTCAAAGTAATTTAGGTCATAAGTTGCTCTACCAAATGAGAACAGAATTAAAAGCCACTCCAAAAAATGATCTAAGGTAATAAAAAATTTATACTTTTAAAATGTCTGTACACTTAACAGAAATATTTAGTAGGTGCATCGTAACTTTCAAGTGAAGTCTCAAATTCAAAGTCTCGTCAGTGTCATTATTTGAAGGTTAATAACCACCATTTTTATACTGATTAATGAACATGTTTTTTGCCTTACTACCACATTTTTAAGTAAAAAATATATAAACCCACTATATAACATTTAAAATATAAATCTTTTCTAATTCCTAGTTTTTAATCGTTTTTCTTTTTCTGGCCAAAAAACCTTATTACTTTAACAACATACTAGGATTCATATATTTCTAAATAAACTTCCAAACAGGTTTTTGGAGAGTAAGCTCATTTTGAAAACCACATTTATATTTACATCAACATAAAACTAATATGAAACTATATTTAGATACGTTTTAAAAGAATAAAAAAAAATAGGTTACCATATTTATAATTTCTGAATGGTGGTGGCAGGTTGGTCCTTACAGGTATATCTATAAGAAAAACAGACTTTTATTATACAATATTCAAATAGACACAGTATATGTTTACTCTGTTGATTCTATTCTCCCATGCATACAGACTAAACTAGTTTGAAAAAACTGACAACCCCTTTCTAATAAAAATGCCTCTTATTCCCATTTCTTGCCTTAGTGAACTAGCCAGAACTTTCAGCACAGGTTGATCAGAAGTGCTATGAGTAGACCTCTCTATTTGGCTCCTAATCTGGGAAAAAAGTACTCAATCTTTCTCTACTAAATCCCAAGCTAGGTGTCAGTTTGTTACAAATATTCCTTATCAGGAGAAGACAAAATCTAGCATCCATTGATTTCTGAATGATGAAACCATTTCTTCCCCAAAAGCCCACTTTTTAGTCCTTGCAATGCAGTTTCCATGAGCACAATTGAAACAAGTAGTGGCTATATTATCACCAGCAGGGAAATGGTGAGTGGGCCGGGCTGTTCACCCAGCTGTGCCCATGCCACATGGAAGAATACCTCATCTCCACCTCTGCAAGAACTTGAAGATTACTCATTATTCTCAGAAGAAGTTCAAAAGCCCATTCTGAACTATACAAGAACATGGTACTATACAAGAACATTACTGAATCAACACTAAGAAACACTATAACCCATAATACACAAAACACTTTGAAATGGGCACAGCCATTTTAAGGTGCTCCCACTAGCCAAAATAATGATGGTAAAGAATTATAATGTCTGTAAAAAGCCATGTATCTACAATGTTAAGGATTAAATAAATGGTAGAGAGGAACACAAAGCTCTTCCTTACTGTGGAAAAACAACGAATAAGTAAGTGTAAAGTGAGTAACACAATAAGAAAAATCACCATTTGTCATAGATCATAATAACTGATTCAGGCAAGAATAATCCAAGAATGCTAATCTAGTGGATAAATGTTTGAAAAAGTAACAAGCTACTCACATAATCTCAGTTACTTTTCAGTTACAATTAAATTTCACAGTGGAGAAAGCTGGCAGATAACTCCTTAACTGCTGTCAGTAATAGGGCTGGTTGACAGCATGGAGAAATCAACATGACCTCTATGATTCTTCTGTCAAGAGACATAACTTAATCATGGGAAAACAGAAAAAAAAACAATTGAGGGGCACTTCAAAAAATAACTGGTCTGCACTATTTTAAATTGCCAGTGTGACAAAATACAATAAGAAAAACTTCCAGATTAAAGAGATTAATTTCAGAAAAAAAGAACTTGAAAGGAACGTCGTATCAAAAAAACATTGCTGGGACAATCAAAATCGCAATACGCTCTGTAAGTTATGTAACAGCATTGTTCAATTCCTGATTTTCATGATTATGTTGTGGTGATGAAAGAGAATTCCTTGTTTTATGAAGTATACTCTGAAATATTTAGAGGTAAAGAAGAATCATGTGAACAAGATGGAACAAGAAATGGGGGAGGAAGTGGGAGGAAAGTGAAAGGTGAGAGGCCACAGGAGGAGAGAATAGAACATTCTTGGTGCTGTTCTTGCAAATTTTCTGCATCTGAAATTATGGCAAAGTAAAAAAAACTAAGGTGGACATGAAGTGATACATTTGTCCAAGCTCATCCAATTGTACCTTAGGATCTGTATATTAGGTAATATATACATTACATCCAAATTAAAATATAGGCACTTGTTCTACATGTTTTATCAAATATTGGTAGTATTTAATATTTAATTAATCCATATTTAATAATTAAAACAGGTAGAAACCATCCAGGACCTATCAAAATGAAGACTAACATCATACCTTCTATATTTTAAGCTCAAAATGATAAACTAGCACCAGTTAGTCTGGTCAACTGCAATGACCAACAGCTCCCATGACTTCCCAGCTGTGCTGGCACCTCCCTGCCACGCTTCCATAGGGTCCTGTGTGTGCTTAGCTGGGGAACACAATTAGCTACGCTATACTCACTTATCAATCAACCTCAATACATAGGTAATTACAAGCAAATCTAGACCTACAACTTTATTTTTTTAAAGATTTATTTATTTATTCATACAGAACTGGGGTACAAGCCAGAGATGAGGAGGGTGAAGGATTCACCAGGAACAGAGTGGGGAGCAGAACAGGCAGATCAACGAAAGTACACTGCTGAGGGGAGCAGCGGGCGGGTCAGGAGAGGTCCACACCATGTGGTCACCTCCAGGGCAGGCGGGGATAGAACTCATGCGGAAGTGGTTTCAGTTTCTTAGTGCAGTGCTTTAACCCACTGCACCACCAGGGAGGGCCGACCTACAACTTTTTAATTAAAAAAAAAAGGAGAAGCCTAACATGATGGTAACAATCACTGAGGAGGGCACACAAACAATTCAATGAGCCCTACGGAGATACTGTTGTTCACTGATGCCAACGCCCAGACCAAAACCTAGCACAGCAGCTGGCTTGGAGACTTGGCTGATACCTTTCCAAAATACTTTCATAGGACTGCTATGAATGTAACAGGCAACTATTTTTTCAAAATGCTAATAAAACACATGATAAAGATATCTCTTACCTTGCTTTAGAAATAATATAAATTCCTTCACAGTTTGGTCCAACTTAACTCCATGATATACTATGGGTTTGAAATTGCGATGCTCAAATGAACGAATGAGGCGAACAGTGATGGTCACTTCTTCGGAAGCCATGTGAAGAAATTCCTAGGGCCAAGGACACAGGAACAGTCTAAGTCACAATCCCAGACTGCATTTCTGCCTTCAGGATTCTGGCCTCCAGCCCTTCCCTCCCACATTATATAGTTACCAACAGAGTTCCCAAACCCAGACCAGATTCCTGGGCACACACTTAGGTCACATTTTATTATTTCTAATAGTTGTTTAGTGGAATCTATGTTTTTTTAATGTAAATTATATACAAAAAGCAATAATTTTACTTCCTCCTTCTCAATTTTATATTTTTCTCTATACAAACCTTGCCTGACTACTCAATTTGGACCTCTGATGCTATGCTAAATAGTAATGATGAAAGCTGTCCAACCTGTCTTGTACCTGACTTGACAAAAGGAATGTTCAGTTTTTCACCATTGAATATGATGTTAACTGTGGGTTTGTTGTACACAGCCTTTAAGATGTTGAGGTACGTTCCTTCTATCTACATTACTTAAGGATTTTTATAATAAATGGATAGTAAATTTTATCAAAAGCTTTCTCTACCTCTCTTAATAGGTTGCAATGGTTCTTTCTTTCTTTTTTTGATGGTTCTTTCTTTTTGGTGATGTTAATTACATTGATCAATTTTCCAATGTTGAACCATCCTTGTATCCCTGACATAAATTCCACTGGGTCATGATGCAAACTCATTTTTAAATATTGTTGAATTTGTTAAGATTTTGTGAGGACTTTTGCATCATCAGGGATATCGGTCTGTAATTTTTTTTCTATGATGTCTTTGTCTGCCTTTAGTAATAATGTTGGCTTTATAAAATGTATTTATGAGGATTTCCTCTTCTTTAGCTTTTTGAAAGAGTTTGAGAAGGGTAAATATTAGTTAATCTTTGAAGACTTGGTAGAACTCACTAGTGAAACCAACTGGACCTGGGATTTTGTTTTATGAGAATTTTGATTATTGCTACAATTTCCCTGCTTGTAAATTACATTTTCAGCTTTTCTATTTCTTCTTGATTCAGTCTCAGAAGTTTCTATATTTCTAAGAACTTGGCCACTTTGATATCCAATTTATTGGCATATATTCATAGTAATCTCTTAATAGCCTATGTACTTGTAAGATGTCTGTTCTGAATTCTATTTAATTCCTGACTACTTATTAGAGTTCTGCACCTTTTTAATTTGTTTGTGTACTTTGCTTATTTTTTCAAAGTCAGTTTTTGGTTTCATTGATTTTTGGGATTGTCCTTTTTTTTTTTTTTTTTTTTTTAAGATTTATTTATTTATCCATACAGAACTGGGTTACAGGCCAGAGATGCGGAGAGTGAGAGGATTCACCAGAGACAGAGTGGGGTGCAGAACAGGCAGATCGACGAAGTACACTGCTGAGGGGAGCAGCGGGCGGGTCAGGAGAGGTCTGCCACGCCATGTGGTCTCCTCCGGGGCAGGCGGGAATCGAACTCATGCGGAAGTGGCTTAAGCTTCTTTGTGCAGTGCTTTAACCCGCTGCGCCACCAGGGAGGGCCGGGATTGTCCTTTTTAATTTCTGTTCTAGTTTTTATTATTTTCTTCCTTCTAGTCACATTTGGTTTTGTTTGTTCTTCTTTTTCTACTTCCTTAAGGTATAAAAAGTTTGATTATTTGAGTTTTTTTTTAAAGATTTATTTATTTATGCATACAGAACTGGGGCACAGGCCAGAGGTGCACAGGTGGTAAGAGGATTCATCAGAAACAGAGTGGGGAGCACAACAGGCTGACTGACGAAGTACACTGCTAAGGGGAGCAGCAGGTGGGTCAGGAGAGGTCTGCTACGCCATCTCGATCACCTCCGAAGCTGGGGATCGAACTCATACTGAAGTGGCTTTAGCTTCTTAGTGCTGTGCTTTCAACTGCTGCGCCACCAGGGAGGGCCCTGAGATCTTTTTTTTTTTTTTTATGTGGATTTGGATTGCTATATACATCCCTCTTTTACCACCTCCCATAGATTCTGATAACTCAAGTCTTCATTGACATTTGTCTCAGGCACTTTTATATTTCTTCCACAATATCCCCATTAACCCGATAGTCATCTAGTGCTGCTATTCAATCTCCACATAATATAGGTTTTTCCTGCTTTCTTTTTATAGCTGTTATCATTGTGGTCAGAAAAGACACCTGATATGATCTCAGTTCATGAATTTATTGATACTTGTTTTGTGAGCTATCCTAAACAAGCATGTGGTCTATCCCAGAGAACATACCATGTGCACTTGAGAGTGTTAAGGGGAAGGATGTCCTAAAGGAACTCTGCAGAGTCTTATGGACTCCACCCCCTAGAGTCCTGAGCAAGAGAGAGAGAGAGTTGCAATGGCACCCTATTTATCCCCCAAATGTCCCAGAATTCCTGCTTAGCTCCACCCTTGGGTCCTCACAGTTCTCTCCCTGGTACTGCTGGGAGTTGTAGTTTCCAATCACTGGAGTAGGGGATAGTGTCCAGAAAGCTGGAGTAGGGGGTGGAGTCCATAAGACTCTGCAGAGTTCCTTTAGGACATCCTTCCCCTTAACAAGAGGAATACGTTTTCAGCTTTTGGGGGGATGCAGTGTCCTATGTCTCCTAAGTCTGTTACCAGGTCCTAGGTGCCTCAGTGTTGGGAGCTGGCAGGAACAGTGGTGTTCTTTCATACTGCTGCTCCACCCAAATCAGTGGTGGCTGTTGCTCCACAGAACTCAGTAACTGCCCTTTTGTCAGTTGTGGCAATGGTTCTTCAAAGACCTTTTATGTAGCAGTGTACTTCCTGGATCGTGGAATGGGCCAATCAGTTGTGAGCTATGAGTTGACTGGTGCTAAGCAGTCCAATCAGACTTGTTACCAGGACCTAGTCTCTCACCACAAGTCCGTTGTTCCTCAGAGTCCTTTTATGTAAGTCACACTTCCTGGGTTGTGGAAGGGACCATAGGTAAATGGTCCAATCAGCCACAGGATGGAAAAATGATCCAATCAGACTTGTGGGTGGGGCATCCTGAAAAATGATGTAAGTCAGGATTGGAAGCAGCTGGTGGAGAGATGAGGATGCCAAGCCCCTGGAGCTGAGAGGGAGAGAGGATGATACCAGCCCAAGGAAGACGACAATGCCAGACTGAGGAGAGATAATGCCAGAACCTGAAGAAAAGAAGATGGTTCCAGCCTCCCCGAAGAAAGAAGCATCCAGCAGCTGCCCTCTAAGGAGAGAAGAGAAGCCGAAGGACTCGATCCTGTCTCTGACATTGCCTGAAAGGAGCACCAAAGGCTCTGGGCCTGGTGTCTCAAAATGCTTTTTGTTGTTCGAATAACCCAGCAACTCACACAGAGCTGTTAACGCTGGGCAACTCTGACAACGCCTCTGTGGGACCAGTGGCATTCACAACTGGCTAGTGTTATCCAGCACTCCTGGTGACCAGTGGTGACCATCACTGATGCTATCTGGGTGAGACAGTTGGCCTCCTGTGGATACGGTGAGCTCTTTGCTTCCCCAGTTTGAAAAATCAAACCCATGGTTGTTGTTCTTGGAGCCTAAGGTCTCTTGCAATTGTGTGTGTGGGTGAGAACCCACAGACAATGACCTATGCCCATATCAGGCACTTGTCCTTTGCTAGGCTATAGCCCAATAGGCCCCTATTGTGTAGGTGTTGTACTGCAATAGCCCTTGGTTTTGATTTTGACCTTTTGGGACTTTATGCTGACTCTCTGGTCTCAGAGCCTGTGCATGGCAGTAGCAGTTCCATCCAGCCTCCTGCCCTGTTGCCCTTTTGTGGGCATCTCCACCTCTGTTTCAAATAAGACCTAATGCCTTATTTGAGGCTAGTGTTCCTTTGTTGATTTTCTGTCTAGTTGATCTGCCCATCGATGTGTGAGGCACTGAAATCTTCTACCATTACTGTATTGCCACCAATGTCTGTTTTCATACTTGTTAATAGTTGTCTTATATATTTTGATGCTCCTTCATCTGATACATATAAACTGAACAATAGTATGTCTTCCTGATGTTTGGATCTCATGATCACGATCATTATGATTATGATTATCTTTTCTCTAGCTGGAAATCTTTTTTAAATCTGGTATAAAAATGACTATTTTTGCCATTTGTTGGGTGGCATTTACTTATAGGATTGTCTTTCAACCAATACTTTGAGCTTATCTTTATTTTTAGAGCACAGATTGGCATTCTGGATACAGTAGTCAGGTTTCTAATCCAACAAGCCACTCCATGTCTTTGACTGGTAAATTCATTTCATTTATATGTAGGGTGTTATTTGAAGATATATGAGGATTATTTACATATGAGGATTTACTACTGCCATTTGTTTTTAGTATTTTGGTTCTATTTATTTCCTTGTTCTATTTTTGTGGATTTTTTTCTCTTCAATTTAGATAAGAGAGCTCCTTTCAACATATCTCATCAGAGAGGTCTAGTGTTTGCAAACTCATTAAGCTGTTTGTCTGGAAAGAATTTTACTTCTGCGTTATATTTGAAGGACAGTCTGAAGAAAATAGGAATATGAACTCAAACGAGCAGTTTGTAGGTATTTTGAATATGTCATTCCATTCTTTTTGTTTATATGGTTTCCTCAAAGAAGTCTGACGTAAGCCTAGTGGGAGAACCTTTTACCTACCCTCCTCCCCTTCACCCCCCCCCCAGTCACTTTCATTATTCTTTCTGTGTCTTGAACTCTTGGTAGTTTTGCTAATATATTTCTAGGTGTAGGTCTCATTACAGGTGATTTAACCAGGTGATTTTAGAATCCAAATTATCCTTATGCTGCATTTCCCAATGGAGTGAGTGGTTCTGAAAGTGTTCCTCCATTTTTTTTTTTTGGACTCTCCCACTTGGGTCTTTTATGCATTATTATCTTTGAGGTCTCTGATTCAAATTTCCCATTTGGACTATACTTCCATAACCCCCTCCAGAATCTTTTATTTCTAATGATCTTTGTACATCCTGGAGCTCTGTATTTTTTCTTATTTAAAGTTCTTATTTTTACTTTCTGTACAGTAATTTCATTTCTCATGCCTTTCATTT